GCTCCTGGACCCTTGTAGTTGCTCAGCTGAGAGGAGGCAGCTTGTTAAGTCACTGCAATTCAATTGTGTTTGATTGTACTGCTATAACCTGAAGCTTTGGCTTTCCTGTGCTATGGGTTTAAATCACAAGTAACTTGTCTGAAGACATTAGATTTATTTCAGAGAATAAAATAGCATGAGAAACAGAACCTTAGGCCACACAGCTTACACAACAATAAAAAGGTGAAGGGGAATTTATGGATGACATCAACAAAAAGGGTCATAAACCCAAACTTACATCTTGAAAGAACTATACTAATTAAAAAAGTGTATTGCAGAAGTTGGAGATTGTGAGGTAGATAAAAACACTGTACAAAAACATACAGAGTGATTTTTTCTTTTACTAGAAGTATAGCTGCTGAATAATAGCTAAATCCCACATGCATCTTGAATCATGAGTGGCTTAACTTGATCAGAGGCATAGGAGTGAGTATATATCATGCATAACAGAGGCATACAGCTTAGACAAATCACTAAAGTGAATATGAAATTTTAGGTACTCAAAATGAGTATTTCCTATCATGTTGTAGGTACTTGAGGCGTGAACATTATTTGATTATTCAGTTAAATACATTAAAAAGAAAAAGCAAAAGCAGCACACCATACAGTTCAACACTACAAAACAATTATTCTATTCAGTCAATGCTTTAAAAACAAACCCATTCCAGAACAGCTGGAAGCCTGCAAGTGACATTTATAACAATTGCAAGTGGTAGTTAACGTAATGTAGCAAAAGAAAAGATTGACTCTTTTGGTCTTTTTTTTTCCCACATATTTTATATCTAAATTTACATTTGTTTTATGATTTTCATGTAATATCTTGCCTATTCTTTTGTTTCCTCTGAAAAGTTCTAATTAGCAATTCTCTCTGGCTTAGTGCACCTGTCACTAGAATTCCTCCTAATGCATTTTAACATGTCCAAAGCCTGCTCTAGAGTGCTCTTACACCAGTATGTGTATTTTGCTTATTTATTTGTTTGTTTCAAATTCAAATGCATTCCTGTAAGCACAGGTTTCTCTGCCAAAATTAATTGTGCCAGGTATGTTGGTATAACAGTGCTCATAGCTGATGAATTACTTCTAAAAGTCATAGAAATAAAGAAGCATTTTTATGTAGGTTTGTGTTTTTTTTTTTTTAATCTTGACCGTGGATTTGTGCCATTGAGGGCAGATGTTAGTAGAAAGCAAGGCAAGCCACACCAAAGAGTTACTGTGCGATGACTCATTCCTGAAGAAAAAGAAAATAATCTGGTAGCAGAATGTAAATGCTCAGTTTGAAAGGCTCTGACTTGTTATCTCAGTGGAGATGAAGCATTAGACTGAGTAATATCAACGCAGATCAATTCAGGCTCAGATTCCCATACCCAGAAATGACCCACTGAACTGGATTTATTGTGCTAATACAACAAGACATGGTGCTGACTATGAATGCTTCTGTTAGCACTGTAATAATATAAATGGATATTTCACTTAAATGACAAGTCTGGAACTATAAAGTCATACCAATAAATGAAAATCATTCCTTGATGAAAGACTGAAGCACATCACAGTGGTTGTCAGTTACCTTATGTATCTTTCAGCAAAAAGACAAGTAGAATTAGAAGCCTCATTTACTTTGGCATCCAATGGACCTGAGAAATGGAGAAGGACTTAAGATACTCTGCTGCTAAACAGCTCCAAAGCCAAGTTAGCGGCCGGATTCAGCACCTGCAGAGCCAATCCTGTAAATGCTTTACCACACCTGGGGAAAATTGATGTAATGCTGCATGCCTTACAAGACAACTCTGTATTTACCTGCTGTGTGGGTAAGCTCCAGCCCTCATCCATCTCATCTGCTCTTACTGAGCTCTGAGCTTTTATGCATCTGGCATCAAATGGTCCAAAGGTGCAGAGGTTTGTCCTAGGAAAACCCTTTGATGTTTGTTGCTTCTCCAGGGCTGTCTGTGCAAAAAAATGCAGGCACAAGCTGTAGATCTTGGGGGTGCCAAGGACTTCAAGCACTCAAACAGCTGTCTTGGCTGCCCTGTACATACCTCCATAAGCCTTCCATAGTGTAGTCTTATCAGACAAGCTCCATAAGCTTTCTCATAGTGTAGCTGTATCACCTAAGTTAATCTCCTGCTCTGAGTGTTCTTTTAGAGGTTTCAACCATACTTCAATAACTGCAAAAGGGTGTATGGAGAGCAGACCTCTGAATTAAATTCTTCAGCATGATTTTCTAGCGCTGAGCAATGGGAATCTACACCACCATGCTCATGCTATCTGAATCCCAGCACCACAGAGCTGTAACAGGCACTGGAATGAACTCCTAAAGTAGAAACCAACATGAATTTTAGCTGTTGCACACACATAGAGAGTATTTGTTTATTTTTTTAAAAGCCTCATATTTGAGAGGGACAGTATGTTGGGAAGCTTTGGTTTTTTTTCCACTGACTGCTTGCAGACTATCAAAAGGACATAGCAGGCTTCTGATTTCAAAACAGCAGGAGAGCAGTTTAAACAGCCCTGAAGTACTATGTAGTAGTACTTTTATTCCTCTCAGACTCACTTAGATTTCTACACACAATTCAGTTCATCTGAGAAAGAATTGATTAGAGTTTATGGTGCTCTACCACATTCTATATGCAGGAATTTTCTGAGGGAAAACCAGCCAATTAAAGCATATTGGAAAGATCAGCAAGAAGATATTTTTTAGAAATGTTCTTCTTAAATAGATTAATACAAGCTGTGTGTACTATTAAAAGATATTCTGATATCTTAGCAGATTCTTGTTGTCAAACCAAGAGTTTTTAATTGTTGTGGCTTCTCTGTTGTAGAATTTTACTTTGCTAATAGATCTGGTCCAATTCCCCTAGCAGTCAGGAGAAATTCAGCCACTGGCAGTAGTTGAACTGTTCTCATGCTGAAAAAAAAAGTCATTAATATAGCAGTTAATATGGCATAGCCTATATTTTAAGATACAATTTTCTGTCATGTAATGCCAACTAATACCATCCAAAGCTCTCCAACACAGAGGAAGTTACAAATGAATTTTCCTAATTTGTATCAACGCAAAATATGTTACTTAATTGGTGAGATAATTCCAGTTATGTAAGAGTAAGGTTGTACATGTCTACATCTTCATATTTGCTTTTGTGGGATCAAAAGGTCCAAGGATCTTTTTTAACAGCACTTAAACAAAAAAGAGAACAAATTCAATATTTGATTTTCTGATTTTGTTTTCTTCTTCTTGTGGCGCATGCACAGCTTTTGATTATCATTTGGGGGTCAGTTTAAGCCATAGAAATAAGTCAGAATACCTTTTCCAGCCTTTTTATTTTCAAAGAGATTAGTAATAATGTGAAAAAAAACTTTCCACATCCATTTTCCCACATGGATTTCAGGATGGTATTCTTTAAAATGCTTTTTTTTTTCTCAGCTTAATAGCTATGATTGGGAACTTGTTTCTCCCCTCCTTTCATATACCTGACAGGGCAAAATATGGAAACTGCTACCAGTTCAGATTTTACTGTAGCCTGAACTTTGTCTGAAATTGTCCATCCAGCTCACAACTTCGACTTATGATGGCTTCTGAATCTGTGAAATCTAGGTTTTATTTCAGATATTTTGGGCTGTAAATCTCTCACATCTCACTGAACCTTATCAAAATTAGTTTTGATGTCTGTAGTACTCAGAAAATGAAGGAAAGGTCAATACTTTGATGAAAATGAATGAAAGGTCAATTCAGCTTCAACTGAGGTCATGCTAACCTCTATGACAGATCCTCATGTAAAATATGATGACTCATCTCCTTGAAGAAACCTGCGGCATGGTTCATTTCTTGGTTATAGGAAGATATATTTAGTCATCAGGGTCTACTGCTGCCAAGGAAAGGGAAAGAAAGAGTTGTCTAACTTTCAACTTTGAGAAAAAAGCTAGTTTGTTTCTCCATCATCAGGTATCTGTATACCTGTCTGGGCACAAAGCAGGTGTTGTTTATTCAGGGATGTGGTAGGTCTTACTGAACACAAAAGCATTATGCATTTTATAAGTATAGTCTTGCTCAGAGACAGATTGTGCTATATACAATAAAATCAGGGAGGAGTACAAAATCCCTCACCAACACAGTCTATAATCTGATAGATAATAAACATTCAGAGAATGCAAAAGTGGAAAAAGAAGGAAAAAGTCACTATAACTTTTTCATTTGGTATAATGTCTTCTTTTCTGTTGTACTTTTTGCTCTTTTAGTAAAAGCTTCTGGGCATATCTTCTGACTGCAGAAGCTATGACCCAGAGCATACAAAGCCCATCTTCACAGAAAATAGCCTGTACAGCAGTCCCTTCCACAGAATGACAAGCCTGAAAGCTGTGAGAAGGAAGGAAATGTCTGAAGGAAGCTTCAAATTCTATAAATCAAAAGACTTACTCTCAGAAAATGTCACTGTTCTCTTTCAGCGTTGCTCATGCATCTATGGTTAAGTAACCTGGTTCAAGTACGTCCCTTTGTTCCATAAATGTGTACACATTTAAAGAAAAATCTTTTCTTTTTGTCTGAATTTGCAGGGCAGACTCAGAAACTTAATAGGAAAGACATATGATATAATGTAACAGTGAAATGTGTAAGAATAATAAATACTGTGTGAGTTTTAGTTCATAGTGAATTAATTATATTTAAAATTATAAAGTGAAAATATTTATTTCCTACCAATAAAATTAAACTTTATTGGGGATAAGTAAGGTCTATTAATTTAATATATTTGAATTGTGTTTAAACAATACAATAAGGCATTAGCAGCCTAAAAAATAAGGCAAGGCGTATAGATACTGTAATTGGTGAATAAACAGCATGTACTGAGGAAACTCTCTTGATCATTTGACAGCCAGTATGGCAACATTTCCCTACTGCCTTTTATCACAGTCTGGAAAAGCTGCTCCTAAAAGACCTTTTCACTGTTTGTGGTTTCTGATCATTCTGGAAGGATGAAGATGCGGCAGCAGAGAGAGAAGAGCCAGCCCCAACATTGGCAGTAGGATCCCCAAACTAAGTCTGATCACTTGTGGCACGGGAATGTCAAAATATGCCTGCTACAGGTGACAAGGAGAGAAACCTCCTGTTTCCTTGTAATATTTGTCTTTGGGCTTTCCAAAATGGGTAAATATTACCTAAAATCCATGTAATCTCAACTATTGCAATCTAATGCTATGAAAGCCTGGCATTACTTTGAGTAGGAGTCTCCAGCTGCAGCTGTCTGGTGGTGACTTGTCTAAGGCAAAGCTAATCAGCTTCAGGTACTCATCTGGGTAGGACTCATCTGGGTAGGTGGGATGATTCATCCACTGGAGGTGACAGTCACTCCTTAGTCCTTACAAAGGAGCCTAGATAGCTAGCTTGGTCTAGAAACTAGACTAAGTTTGGTTAGTCAGCCAAAGATAGTTGAGATGGATGTTAACCTCTGCATGTAAAATTATCCCTATCTAATATGAAGTTATCTTTAGTTACAGAGTGCCTTAAGATGACAGATGCCTAACCTTTTACTGAAGTAGGTGCAAGAGTATTTATTTCAAAGATGGTTCAAAGCTGTGCAAGGGGAGATTTAAAATTAGACACTGTGGAAGCATTTCTTTTCCAAGGAGTTGGTTAACCACTGGAATAGGCTTCCTAGAGAGATGGTTGATCCTCCAAACCTGTCAGTATTTAAGACATTTGGACAATACCTTTAACATTATGCTGTAAGTTTTGGTCAGCCCTAAACTGGTTAGGCAGTAGGACTAGATCATCACAATATGTCCCTTCTATCCCAAGCAGTCTATCCTATGCTATCCTATGCTATCCTATGCTATCCTATGCTATGCTATGCTATGCTATCCTATCCTCTCCTCTCCTATCCTATCCTAATCTTATGCACAGTCATGATCTTTCTAGGGGGTTGGTATTTAGCTGCTGAAGACGAGCAAGAAAAACTCAGGGGTTTGTTAGCTGGATGTTTTTACAGTCTTTAAATCGGATTATCTGTGAAAATTTCATCCAGAAAAGAGTTATAAATTAGGCTCTTAATAGTCAAAACTTTTCTTCCCAGTTGCTCCTATTATCCCAGTCTGGGGGAAAATCCTTGGGCGGACTGTGTTAGGGAGCCCAGACAAAGTTTTTAAGTCCATAAATTTTATTTCTTTTGAACATTGATCTTAAAGTGGAGATATAAAGTTGTTATTTCTCCATTCAGTTTTGTAGATTATCATCCCCAATCAATGTAAAAAAAAAAAAAAGTATATACATGCTAGGTAATGTTTTTATCTATCATCAGCTTTTGATACCAGCTCTGCCTTTCTTCATTGCTCTGGAATTTTCCCTCACATGTGTTACACCCTGTTGGACAATTATCCACCAAAGAAAGCCTTTAACTTGCCCTCAGTCCTGCTGTATGGACTGCACCATCTGACAAGATCTGTAGCAAAAGCTGTGTTCTGCCATTAATTACAGTGTGTTGGTAAGACTAAATTCCATTTATATAAATTGTGTTGGAAGTACAAGTGGGAAAATGAACTGATACAAAATGTCCAAGATTCATGGTTAATTTAAAATTTCAAACAGAGTTCTCTCAAATTATCTCTAGAAAAATTATTGGGCTTGGATACAGATCTGAAATCAAATCCCCAAAGATTTTTGATCTATTTTCATTACACTCCTTTTTCTCACCTGCTTCCCAGGGGCAAAAGCCAATTGTACAATCAATTCTGTAATTTGTTTTGAAAACTCAAATTTGTTTTTAAGCAGGTGTAGAAAAATGACATTTTCTAATTAAATGGAAAATAACTGAGTATAAAAGTGGACATTTTTCATTGTGAAATTGTTTTGTGTTGTTTTTTAATTATTACTGATGCTTTGCAACTTTTACAAATCATTCAAGTGGTGAGAAATGTCAAGGGTGAAAATAGCAGATGAAGGAGTACCTAGTCCATTAGCAATGCAGGCTGATGTTCTTGCTATTGGTAGTTGATAAATTTTTCTGTCTGTTTTTCTCCAAGAATCTGTTCATGTGATTTCTTTTCCACATACTTAGAAGTCTACTTTGCATTTGGGCAGGTCAGAACAAGTGCCTTTTTTTTTTTTTACGTTATCCTATAGATTAGACAGTTGACTTCTGTTTCAACATTTGCAGTGCTATCGCTCCAAGGTTAAGGTTAAAAAGAGCTGATTTTAGAAAAAGAGAAGCATTAATAATTTCCAGAAGTATTAATTTCTTTTGGGATTTTGGGCAGCAGCTAGAAGAAAATAAGGTGAGGTTTCCCTTTATAGAGGAATTTGTCTTTTATGGTTGTGAGCATCTACATGTACTGTGAAATTTCTGTGAATACTTAAGTGTCTGTGTGGGAAAGGATAAGAACAAATAGTGGAGTGGAGCTGAACTTTCTGCTTAAAGAAAACTATTATGTCTTTTTATATTCATTTGTGGAGCTACAGAGCATTGCTGAGGTATTCAGAAAGAGCTTTTTATTATAGCTCTAGGCAATTTAATGCAATTCAGGGTGTTTTCTTTAGGAGTGTAAACTGTCCTGCACTTGAAGTGGGAAAATATTACAGCGAGAATAGTGAAATCTGCTTATATGTTAAGAAATTTTATATGTAATATAGCTTTGTCATTTCCCTCAGTTTCCTAAAATAAAATACCACCTATAGCAGCTACCAGCTACAGGTTAAACCTGTCTTAAAAGATCATTGCTAGTCTTTTGAAAGTTACCAAGGCCATTAAATCTAGACCTGATGTTAGAAGAAGTGAGCTTGGAGATAAACAGAGATCCTTCCAGTCTCGAATTGTATTGGAGCTCTCTGATTCTATTACATGCATCACAGACTCAGTGGTGTAGCCCCGCAGAAATCTGTTACAAAATGAGCCTCAAGGGCCATGAAGAGATTGATCATTTATATAAAATAATGTTCTTTTTCTGGTTTGTTCTGTTTGTGCAGCCACTGGAAAAACATTTCCTTTCTTGACAAAAGTATTGTTCACCCTTCAAACAGGTCTTATGAAGCTATGAGAAATATATTTGTTTGCAACAGTAGATAGAAGTCTTATTAAATACTTTGCCATTATGTTAGGTAATGTTCTGAAGTGTTGTTTGTTTTTTTTTTTTTTGTT